TTTACCCTTGATAAATTAATCAGATGTAAATGAAGATTTATGGCCACGAAAATTTACTGAAAAATCTTTTATAAATTAGCATTAGCCAAGCTTTCAACAATAAAGTTCTTGTTATTTTATAATGTCTTCATGTAATTTAATGCAAGGCTGACACTTAAAGCCATGGTCACAGAAACAATTCACATAGAATTAGTAAAAGAAACCAATATATATATAGCCCTCAAATGAAGCATGATATAAACTACATATTGTGTAACATATGCTCCTAATTTTTAACAGTGTATCCATATTTCTGTGCCTCTATTTTTAGGTATATGTGCACACAAAACCAACTGAAAGAAAATATATCAACATGTTGACAGCTCTTATTTGAGGCTGGTAATATTGTGACTGATTTATGCTTTTTGATTTTCTAAATTATTTTTATAAACTTCTACCAACTTTTTATTTTTTATTTTATTTTATTTTCTATTTAGGTTCTGGGGTACATGTGCAGATCATGCAGGATTGTTGCATAGGCACATACATGGCAAGGTGGTTTGCTGCCTTCATCCCCCCATCACCTATATCTAGTATTTCTCCCCACGTTATCCCTCTCCACCCCCACTCGCTGTCCCTCTCCTGGGCCCCGCCAACTGACCGCAGTGTGTGATGCTCCCCTCCCTGTGTCCACATGTTCTAATTGTTCAATACCCACCTATAAGTGAGAACATGCAGTGTTTGGTCTTCTGTTCTTGTTTCAGTTTGCTGAGAATCATGGTTTCTAGATTCATCCATGTCCTTAAGAAGGACACAAACTCATCATTTTTTACGGCTGTGTAGTATGCCATGGTGTATATGTGCCACATTTTCTTTATCCAGTCTATTATTGATGGACATTTGGGTTGGTTCCAGATCTTTGCTATCTACCAGCTTTATAATTTTTTTTTTTTTTTTTTTGAGACAGGTTCTCACTCTGTCACCTGGCTGGAGTACAGTGGCACAATGATGGCTCACTGCAGCCTCAACCTCCAGGCCTCAGGAGAGATCCTCCCACTTTAGCCTCTCAAGTAGCTTGGATACAGGTGCACACCACCAGACCTGGCTAATTTTTGTATTTTTTGTAGATACAGGGTTTTGCCATGTTGCCCAGGTTGGTATTGAACTCCTGGACTCAAAGTGATCCCCCTACCTCAGCCTACTGAAGTGCTGAGATTATAACCATGAGCCCCTGAGCTTAGACATAATAACTTTTAAAAAGGAAACAAATGATATGAAAAACAATTTTATGTTATGCTCAGAAAATTAGGGTTATTTACCTATGATTATGTGGTACATTGTGATGGAACTTGGAGGATTTTGATTCTGGAAACCTGAGTTTTGCCCACTGGAACAAACTTGATTTTTCTACACAAGCACCCTCAGTGATACTCAACACATCTGAGAGGCTGTATAGTTAGGAAACAAAATGTAATATCGGTTCAAACTAATTGAGCAGTGACATGATAAATTAGAGCATAAACCGCCACACTCATTTGAGCAGAACCTAAACTCAGTTTTGAAAATGTAGTTATTTTCCAAGTCGTAGGAAAACTCACAGTTGTTTGGGAATCTCCTGTCTCGTTCCTTAAGCAAGGGGACAGCTACATTTGGTTTAGTTGGCCTTTTTAATTCTTGAATTAACTAGTTATTGTTATCATTTCAAATATAGACCTTTGCTATAAGAATCACACAAACATATTATATATTCCTTAAATGTGAAACAAAATCAAATTTGTAATAAAGGCTTTTGTTCAGAGATTATCTGAGTTTAGTGATATTACTAAGCTCACCAAGTTCATGTGTTCATTGAACAGATATTTATATATCTTGGCTATCTTCTAACTGTTAGGTGAACCAGGTAAACAAACTTTGCACTTTCAAATATTTATATATTGTATAAGGATAGACAGATATATAGAGATGATAAATATGCATATGTAATATGCATACAATTATAAATGTATGTGTTTACTACATATGTAATGACTTAATACTGTTTCAGAGTGTGACAAATACTATGAATAAAATAAAATAAAACTGAATTATGCAATGAGGAGTTGGTTGTAGGGGAACCAACCACAAATCACTTGAAAAATATTTAAAATATATGTTACTCATCTCTCTAAACCCTGCTAGACTTTTTGTCTAATTCATGATTCTCCTTCCTCAACTGAATTTGTATGTCTTCTCTCTCTTTCATAGAGTTCTTCCCTCTCTGTTCTCTTGGGTCTAACACAGCTGGAAAATTCTGATTGAATTCTGAGTTAATTTCCCGGGGCTGCCATGTAAGTTAACACAAAGTGTAACACAACAGAAATTTGTTTGTTTGTTTTTTGAGATGGAGTCTCACTGTGTTACCCAGGCTGGAGTGTAATGGCACGATCTCAGCTCACTGCAACTTCCACGTCTCAGGTTAAAGTGATTTTCCTGCCTCAACTTCCCGAGTAGCTGGGACTGCAGACACGTGCTACCACACCAGGCTAATTTTTATATTTTTAGTAGAGACAAGGTTTCACCATGTTGGCCAGGCTGGTCTCAAACTTCCGACCTCAAGTGATCCGCCTGCCTTGGCCTCCCAAATTGCTGAGATTATAGGCGTGAGCCACTGTGCCCAGCCAGAAATTTATTTTTTCATAGAAATGTATTCTCTCTATTCTGGAAGCTAGAAGTTAGACGTCAAGATAGCAGCAGGCACATTCTCTCTGAAGGCTCTTGGGGAGAAATTCTCCTTTGCCTCTCCTAGATGCTGGTGGTTGCTGGAAATCCCTGAAATTTCTTGGCTTACAGATGCTTCACTCCAATACATGCCTTCACTTTCACACAGCCTTCTTCCCTGTGTGTCTGTGTCCAAAATTTCCCTCTTGTTGTAAGGATACCATTAACTCATTAGGGCCCACCCTAACCCAGTATGCCTTTAACTTGATTTGATTATATTTGCAAAAACCATTTCCAAATAAGGTCATATTCACAGGCTTTGGAGGTTAGGATGCCAACTTATTTTTGGGGGGAATACAATACAACCTATAGTGAATGCTAAAAGAAGGCCTCTATGGGATCCAACTTATGAGAAAAAGAGAGCCCAAGGCAGCCCTGGTGGAAAAATACTTCCATGTAAAAGACAGTATAAAAATCCTAAAGAGGGTAAGGTTAAGAGGCAGAAAGATCAATGTGACCAAAGGAGGTTGCGGGGGAAGGGGGTTGTGAGGGAGGGTGGGAAGAAAGAGAGAGAGAGAGAGAGAGAGAGAGAGAAAGTCAGGCCATATAATATGTGGGCAAGAATGAAATCACAATGAGCTTTGTAAGCTGACATATGAAATTCTGATTTTATTCCATTTAACAAGAAGCTGAATAATTTTATTTGGGGAAAAGTTATTATCTATATTTTAAGAAAACCATCATGTTTGTTGGCCAGGTGCTGTGGCTGACTCTTGTAATATCAGAATTTTGGGAGGCTGAGGCAGGTGGATCACTTGAGGCCAGGAGTTCAAGACCAGCCTGGCCAATATGGTGAAATCCCATCTCTACTAAAATTACAAAAGTCAGCCAGGCATGATGGTGCATGCCTGTAATCCCAGCTACTGGGGTGGCTGAGGCAGGAGAATCACTTGAACCAGGGAGGCAGAGGTTTCAGTGAGCTGAGATCAGGCCACTGAACTCCAGCCTGGGTGACAGAGCAAGACTCTGTCTCCAAAGAAAAGGCACGTTTGTGATTGTTCACATGAGAAACAGTGGAGCTACAATGTGGTCGTAGCAGAAGAATCAGTGGAGGAGATAAATTTTGGGAAGCTGGTCCAGCATTCAGAATTTGTGAAATGGAATGTGAGGTGGGAGGAAGAGGGGAAATGAGATGGAGGGAAAGGTGCCCAGGTGGGCATTGTTGTTATTTACTAAGATAAGATGGGCTGGGAGCCAAAGATTATGGACTACGGGGTGGAGTGGAGACTGGGTTGTAGTTTTTCAACTGTTCTTGTTTTTGCTATGTCTGTCTTCTCCATTAGTATAAATTCCTGAGTGGAGAAAGTATACTGCTATGATGCAGAGTAGGCACTTGAAAAATATATGAAAAATGTATGTTATCTGTTTCTCCAGACCCTGTTAGACTCTTCATTTAATTTATGACTTCCCTTCCTCTTTGACCCCATTTAAATGTTTTCCCTCTCTTTCATAGAGCTCTTCTCTCCCGGTTCTCTTGGGTCTAACACAGCTGGAAAATTATTCACATGCATTAAAGCCCACTTCCAAATGTCCTACAGGAAGGTGGTGGCTCTGTAGACAAAGCAGGGACCTCGAGTCATAGGAACTGGGATGGTCACTTCATCTTAGCTATCTAACGTCCTGTGCGATACTTAACTGCCCTACAGCTTAGTTACTTCCAGAGCTTAACACGTTGCTATGATCATTGCTTTAGATAATATATGGAGTATGATATTGTGGCTAAAGCACACCATGAATCAGACATGGGAGAGAGGAGGAGGGAGAGACAGAAGCCCCAACCACGACAATGATTGGTGATGCACCTGCTTGGTGAAAAACCATCGGGCTTTGCATTCAGATAGACCCAAACAAAGACCAAGTCCCTGTGTATTCATTTATTAACTGAGCCTCAGTTTCCACAAATGTCTGACTACCCACCCGTCTTGCGGGACTGTGGTGATGATTTGCAAAGTGTATGAAAAGTGTCTAGGGCAGGGCAAACATGAAATGTTACTTTCCTTCCCTCTTTCCTCTGCCCACACATGGGTTCCTGCTTGACAGGACGCTGGGTATTTATGGTAATTATCTATCTAGCGTTCAATTTCAGACAGTAATTTTTCACACAAACTCTTCTCTAGCGTTTTTCTAAAAAAGAAATGAATTCTCCCTTTCCCACTATCACCAAAATAAAGATAATTGATAACTGAGAGGAATGCCCAGGGTTATAGGAGCAAAGTTAGGAACACAACTTAACTGTTTCCTAAAATGATGAATATGTGGTCTGAACCAGAGGCAGGAGTTGAAAAGTGAGACGTCTTCTCACTTCCTGTAGTTCTCGGGAGGGTGGAGAGGGGGCTCTCTAAAAAAAACAAGTCTTAGCCAGGCACAGTGGCTCACACCTGTAATCCCAGCACTTTGGGAGGCAGAGGCAGGCAGATCATCTGAAGTCAGGAGTTCTAGACCAGCCTGACCAACATAGCGAAATCCCATCTCTACTAAAATACAAAATTAGCTGGGCATGGTGGCACATGCCTGTAATCCCAGCTACTCGGAAGGCTGAGGCAGGAGAATCACTTGAACCCGGGAGGCGGAGGTTGCGGTGAGCCGAGATCATGCCCCTGCACTCCAGCCTGGGTGACAAGAGCGAAACTCCATCTCAAAACAAACAAACAGACCTACAAACAAAAAACTGAAGTCTTGAGTTGTGCTGCAGTCATGCAAGTCTCGGAGAAACAACAGCCAACTTGCTGAAAGGGAGATTGGAGCTCTGCAGCACGTCACTCTGATCCTTTTCCCACTTCTCTTGTAAAAGACTGCACCCCTCTCAGCTCTAAAATGATCGGATGCCATGCTCACGGTATTTGATTATATGTAAAGAATCCAGCTGCAAGGTCATTCTCAAAAATACCTGCTAAGTAGACACTGCCATCTTATGTGGTTTCTGGCTCCAACGCAAGTAGAATATGCTGAACTAAGCCTGAGATTTAGGCAGCATTCTCTTATTTCTTTTCTTTTTTCTTTTAAAGTATCTTTTGATATCAGTGACTTCCTGCCAGGAGTACAAAGAGGAAGGAAGGTGAGAGAGCCAGAACAGTCGATTCTGTTTTGACAGAGCCTGGGCCTTTTGTGTAACCCTAGGGATTTGGGACTCAGAAGCATGAAGGGCCAATGGCCACGTAACCTCGCAGCTGCTCATGGTACGGCCTCTGGCTGGGCTTCCTACTTCCCCTGGACGAAGAGCTGGGGATGAACTGCAGCACACTCTGTGAACACAGAACCTGACTGGACAAAGGGGATGTCCGGGAACTTGGTGTTCCAAAGTGTCTTTAAGGTTAGACAAACAGAATGTTGGATATGAGCTGGGGACTGAAAAGAAAGAACCAGACACAGTTCAAGTGAGCAGAACTTGCCAGAATGCTGTGCACGTTTCTTTGGAAAGTCAAGTGAGCTTCAGACTAGACACTTAGCAGACCCTTGACATACACTTTGTGATTTATGAATAAATGCTCTTTATTCATAAATAGCATGGTTGGTTGTGAAATCCCATAAGGATAAATGGTTAAGCAACTGAATAGAAATTGTCACTAGGGAGGAGAGGTGACTGTGCTTTCATCGACTGCACGAAGCGGAAGCTCTGCAGTGTGTTAGGAGAAAAGTAGGCTTCAACACAAATTCCTGCTCTAAAAAGCACCACTGAAAGTTATTCTCGAAAGCACTGACTCTCTATCCTGTTGCAAAGTAGGTTTAACAGAAGGAAAAGCATTTGTTATCCAGAAAGAAGCACGCAGGAGGCTGGAGCACTAAAGACATACTTGTCCACTATCCAGATTTGCAGGGGCTCAGCTTTTGGTTTGTTTAATCTAGGCTGGGGCACCAAAAATCAGCTTATCCCTCTCACAAAAGTTCCTCAACTGTGGAGTCTAATCTGTTAAAAATGGTTATGATGGGTCAGTGGCTCATGTCTGTAATCCCAGCACTTTGGAAGGCTGAGCCAGGAGGATTGCCTAAGCTCAGGAGTTCAACACTAGTCTGGGCTACATAAAAAGGCCCTGTCTTTATTTATATATATATATATTTAAAAAAGCTTATGGTTCCAAGTCTTTGCTATTGTAAATAGTGCTGCAATAAACATACGTGTACATGTGTCTTTATAGTAGAATGATTTATAATCCTTTGGGTATATATTCAGTAGTGCGATTACTGGATTAAATGGCATTGTAGATTCTTGAGGAATTGCCAGTCTTCCACAATGAATTAATTTACACTCTTACCAACAGTGTAAAAGCTTTCCTGTTTCTCTACAGCCTTGCCAGCATCTGTTGTTTCCTGACTTTTAATAAATGCCCATCAATGATAGACTAGATAAAGAAAATGTGGTACATATACACCATGGAATACTATGCAGCCATAAAAAGGAATGAGTTCAAGTCCTTTGCAGGGACATGGATGAAGCTGGAAGCCATAATTCTCGGCAAACTAACACAGGAACAGAAAACCAAACATCGCATATTCTCACTCATAAGTGGGAGTTGAACAAGGACATGGACACAGGGAGAGAAACATCACACACTGGGGCCTGTGAAGGGGTTGGGGGCAAGGGAAGGGAGAGCATTAGGACAAATACCTAGTGCATGTGGGGCTTAAAACCTAGATGATGGGTTGATAGGTGCAGCAAACCACCATGGCACATGTATACCTATGTGACAAAACTGCATGTTCAGCACATGTATCCCAGATAAATAAAATTTTAAAAGAGGTTATGGTGGCTCCATTCTGTTTACAAAATCTACATGGTAGGACAGATGGCATAGCTCAGTCAACATTTCAGCTGAACCCATTTTAATCACTAGAGGGATTATTGAATGCAAGTAGTTTCTAAATAATTCTAAAGGAAAACTTCGAATGCAGTTAACTAGAAATAACACTTAACAAGATTTGTGAGAATATGTAGAATATTGTACTTTGAGAAGAAAAATGACAAAAGATAACACAGTAAGTTGATGTCAGTGACTTTTTATAAAGAAAAATTATGGGAAAATAAATGAAAGTCAGTACATGCTAATGGGCTCAGTAAACACTTATTTGATATTCATAACAATGTTCATGTTCATATTTGAACATTGAACATTAATCAATGTTCGAAACAAATACAAAGTTCAGAGACCATGATCCACTTCTTCTGCATCAGAGACACAAAATCTTTAATATATCCTTTTTGAGTGCTAATCTGTGAGTGATCCTGAAACATTACTGTACTAAAAGCTATTTTCTCTTCCTTCCCAGAACAGCCTTAACCCCTTCAGGCTGTCTAAAAACTTAGGTTTGTCGTACTCAAGTATAAAAGTAAGTTTCTCTCTAAAGGTACATGCTTAGATTTTACACAGTTATATGAACTTGCCTGGCATTTTTAGGTAGTCTTAATGGATGTATCAACAAATTGTAAATTAGCTCAAGGTCAGTTTTTCATGCCACGTGTTCTAAAACAGGTGACTATTGAGTAGGGAGTGTGGTTAGGTCTTGGGAGTGTATTTATCAACTTTTACCCAGAGCTACTCAGGACCTCACCCCTTACCTAACAGCGCCATTAGTGTACTCTTTCACTGTCCTCTACTCACTACCTCGGCTCTCCAGCTTCCATTTCATTATCCCTCTATAAATGGAAGAAGGAACACTTTGGGATGCTTGGAGGAGTGACTAATGGGACTAATAAACATATAAAGGTATTTGTTTCCCTAGGAGACAGCAAAGTGGATGGAAGGCATTAGAAATAAAATTAAAACTTTATTAAGTAAAATAACAAATACACAAAGAAAGGCCTGAATAAGTGTTTGTATGGTCTAAATTATTGAGACATTTTTATATGATCCTACAATTTAGTTAAAGAGATATTTTTAAAACAACTCCAAAAATGATTGTAAAGATGGTCATACAGTACTAGATTATCTATCACTGCAGGGTAGCTATGTTGACGGTTGTGTACAAAATTGCCAAAAACAGCAGCAGTAACAACTCATTATGCAAAGTTTATTAAAGAGAATGATGACTGTCTCCTATGCACAGCAGAGGAGGCATCATTAACATTGCCTAGTTGAGAGGTTTTCAAACTGCATGTTATGGCCCACTAGTGAATTCTGAGATCAGCTCCACGGGCTGGAAGCAGCTGTTCGTAAAAAATGATAGAATAGAATACGATAGAATGAAAAACAATATAGGCCATAAAGCTAGTAAGTTTATTTCTTTTTGAAATCTGTGTTTCAGTTATAATACGTACCAATTATATTTGTGCCCCCCCACCGACACACACACATCCTTTTTTAAAATCTTTTAATTTTTTTTAATCAGAGTCTCATTCTGTCGCCCAGGTTGGAGTGCAGTGGCGTGATCTCAGCTCACTGCAACCTCCACCTTTTGGGTTCAAGTGATTCTCGCGTTTCCGCCTCCCGATTAGCTGGGGCCACAGGCGCACACCACTATGTCCAGCTAATTTTTTGTATTTTTAGTAGATACGGGGTTTTGCCATGTTGACCAGGCTGGTCTCAAACTCCTGACCTCAAGTGATCTACCTGCTTTGACCTCTTAAAGTGCTGGGATTACAAGCATGAACCACTGTGCCTTGCCTGTTCTTTTATATAATAACTGAAACAAAACCATTACACTATTATAGGTGTATGTAGCTTGGTGACATAGGCTACAGGTCATAAACCAAAAATAAGATAAATAAAAATAAACACTAATCTATTCCCACTAATTATATGCCTTTGCTCTACACCTGCTTGGTGGTCATCCTGACTCTATATGCATGTGTCACTGCCTGTTCTTTCATGAACTCTGTCTTTAATTTTGCTGAGTCAGGATATGTCTTCCTGGAGCTTACTGGTTAGCCTGATTTCTATCTATCCCTAGGCGCCTTACAGACAAGCCCAGTTTTTCTTCCGCACAGTAACCCTTCAAACATTTGAACTGAGACGTGTTGTCCCTGCTGAGGTTTCACTTCCCCTCCCAAAGCATTTCAGGGCTTCAACTCAGTTGATGTTCTGAACCTTTGCTGATTAAATTTCTCTATATGCCTCGACAGTTTGGGCTCCCTGTAGTTCTTAGAAAGATAGAATTAGGTTGTCCTGCAAAGAGAAGAGCCAGATGTGGCTGCACTCTGCTCAGGAAAAGAAAATAAATAGAGGACGAGCTTCAGGAGTGGCCCTGGGTATCATTTGCAATACTACTTGTAACATGGGAAGCTCACGTAAGAAGTTCTGTTTCCCTTATGGATTCCTCTTGGAGAGTAATTGAAGTGTGCCAAC